TTTTGCTTTATTTAACAGCCGCCTCAGTGCTTTTATACTTTCAACAAATTTTACAAGACATCATGTCTACTACCGATCATACTTAATTTTTTTTCTCATTTATTTTACTTTTAGTCACTCTTTTAGTTGCATTAAATATGCAACTATCTTTTTATTTCTTTAGTTTTTGGATGTAGTTTGTGAATTAGGATAATCACTTGATTTATCGTAATTTCATACAGGCTATTCAAACAAATTTTTAAATACATATATTGGTGCAGCTAATGAATGGAAATTTTGGGTTTGCTTGTAAGTATTAGGTACGTGAAAAAATTATTTTATAAAGCCATATCAGGTTATTTATTTATTATAATAAAAAATAATTTTTCATTTCTTATTCTTTCTAGTAATGTGTACATCAATTGACTTGTCGTATTTAATAAAAATTAGTTGAGTAATTGATTGACTTAAAAAAAGAATTCAGATAAGCTCCTTCGGATAGTAAAAGAACTAAAATTTATTTTAGAAATGAACACTTTATACTTGTTAGACGGAGCCAAATAAAAGGACTATTACTCTTCGGTTCCATATGAAAATTACGTTGTCTCCCACAAAAAGAAATAATCATCCGGAAAATTTAGTTCTGTATCTGATGTAAAAAAATTTCATCGCTTTTACTTAATTTTCTTTATCAATAGAAATCTTATTTTGTCAATTTAGTCAACATTTCTTCAAGCTTCATAAGAAAAAGTTCAATAATTTTTTGAATTTTTGTGTTACTTTATCAAAGACTTGAAAGGCGTAATTTTATTATGTTTTTGAAATTTTCAGATCAACTTCAAACCCTTTTCAGAATCATTCTGCAAGCATCATCAAAAAAAGATTCAATATCTATTGAAAACTTATAAGTTTAAAAAAAAATCAGTTCATTTCAATTTACGATAAACAGCAAATATTTTTCAATTTCGTTTTAAAACTACAGACAAAAAATTCCTGAACTTTTGATATCTGATTTATTTTTATTTATCATTAGAATAATTTTATTTTGATTAATTCCCAATCAGGCAGATCATTGCCTAATTTGATTATTTTTATTATATTGATTTTCGCTATTTGAAGACTTGTTCTTGAAATAAAATAAATATTTGTTTGAGTTTTACAGTTGGCCTATTTTGGTATTTCTACAGTGATATCTAATACCATTAAGAGGCACCTTCTTATCCTTCTTTTTCCTCTTTATTTTTCTTTTATCCTTGTTGGTATGAAGGGCGCTCGAGTTATGAGTCGTACTTTTCCAGCAATACGTGTGCCATGGGATCACCATAAGATGGGATATCCGCGACTTTCTGCTTTCTCCTTCTTTACCTTATCTTTTTTTTTTTTTTTTTTTAGATGTGCTCGGCCATTCGTTGATGCTTTCTTCCCTGAGGGATTCCCTGGATCACACTACAGATAGCTTACCAAAACTTATACTCTTTTTTATTTTTCTACTTATTAGATTGCTAATAATAATCCAGGTAAAGTTAAAGTTATTTAATTATTCTTATTAGCCTTAGTTAAAAATCACATTATGTTTTTATTTTTAAAGCACTAGAAATTAAAATAGTAAAAATGAAGATGAGTTGAATTTTGTAGAAATCCGTAAAAATTGACCGCTGGAAAACTCTCAACAACCGTAAGATTTTCACTGAAACTTAACAGGATAAACAATACAGACGCTTAACGCTCTATATCTTGGTTTATTTGAACATAACATGTAAAAAGTTGGAGTAATTATTTAGATTTTACTTTTACAATACTTCAACCCATAAAAATGATATTGAAAGTTTTTTTTTGAGCATTGAAAATTTTTTTTTCTTCCAATTCATCAAAATTAGAATAATCAAAATAAATTTTCTTCCTAAAAATCTTAATTTTTCAATAAAAAATATTTTTTTTTAACTCTTTGTTTTTACACGTACAATATGTAAAAAAATTTTAAAAATAGGTAGATTTGTATCGAAATTTTTCATTTATTCAGTTTTCGGTCGGCATAAAACTTTTGTTAAAATTAAAAGCTTTGAAATATTTGATAAAATTCATTTTTATAATTTTTTATGTTTTTTTATCGTAAGTCTACCGTGACATACAATAATTTAAAATAAAAAATAATATGTTTATAAATGTTAAAAATAAATAATTGGAAAAATCGAATGTCAAACATCAAAAATAAAACTTGAATTATCAATTTATCTTTTATGCAGTCAAATTTCTAGCTGAGATAAAAATTTTGGCTGACAAGAAAAATTTTGTTCAAAAAGAAATTTTTGTTAATTTCATCAATGAACACATAAAAATTATTGATGTAACATATATTAGTTAACAGTAAAAGATAAAAAATTTAATAGAAAGAGTATTAATAAAGCGTTGTTTGTAAATATAAACATGTTTTCATAATGAATCGATGTGGACTGCTTTCATGCCAGTGGATTGCTGGGAATCCCGGTTAGATAGAAGTAAAAATGTCATTTGACAGACGTTAATTCGATTGGAAATGAAACGAGGCGAACATGACATCACGATCGATTGCTGAGGAGTAGCCACTGCATGGTCAACACATTTCAAGTGTTGAAAACATGAAGTATCAATTGAATTTTTTATCCTTTTATTTATATTAAAACGCATTATCTTAAAAAAAAGATATTTTTATTTTTATTGGTTTCATTTAAATTTTAGTTGTAAAACTGCTAATAAAAAATAATACTCCGAGAAGACAGTACTTTGTCGCATATGGGTATATTCTCATAGCATTAAGGTATTGGATACATGAAAAAAGTTAAAAGAAGGAGAAAGTAGCAAGAAAATAAATTCGAATGAGGGTGAAATCGAAATCCAGTCGTAAGATCGGTTACGAGATGTCAGTGTAGATCCAAGGATTTACTCTAAGATATTTTTATTTTCTGTTGCGGCGAAATATAAAAAATATATAAGTAGTGTACACGAGTGTCTTACACGGAGTATGTTGTCTCTGAATCGTATATCACACTGTACTGCGCTATTTCACTGGTAGCCGCAGTCACCGTAATAATTTCCTTGGGTTTTCACATTCGTCGTCTGTGATGTAAATTCAATGTCACTTAAATAGTTTAGTTCCGGTTTTTTTTTTATTTTTTTTAATCAAATTGTCTATAATTTTAGAAAAAAATGTAGACAGATATTTTACATTTATTTTTTTGTATTTTATACTTGTTTTATTTTCTAATTATTCTTATTTTTCTATCTTATTGTGTAGAATGAAAATATTTGTTCCAGGTCATTACCAATAAATTATATAGACAACGTTAACGAATAACTTACGCTGGAATTATAAATAATTAATAATTGCTTTTTTTGCTAATTTAAAAGTTCAAAAAAAATTGTTTAAAAAAATTTTACTTTATTTTTGTTATCAATGAGAAATCATATATGACTATATCAAGCTATGTGTAAGAATGCAAAAATTATTCGTTACAATTTTTTATTTTTTCGTACCAAATAAAAATTGTTTTATTCGTTGGTTAAAAAATCAACCAGTTTATCTTCTAAAGAGAGTAAAGAATAATGATTTTTATTTTAAAGATCATCTCCTCTTTCCTAACTCTCCTGTAATGAGACGATTCAGTTATTATGCGTCTGTCATAGGATATTTCTTACACCATCTTTGATCGAGAAATTATATGTAATGAATTTTTTTCGAAGTTTTTAATAATTAAATCAGTGACATTGAAAATCATTTAGGTCAATAAACAATTAAACCACTGTTAATTCGCAACGATTTGTCTTTATTGATTAAGACGTCAATATGTTTCAAAAACATATCTCAAAACATGTCTCAAAATTGAGACTTCAATATGCAATCAAAAAGCCTGTACGATGATTTGCCGCGGAGTTATCGTCAATCAAAAAAGTTCTTTTTGACTTTGATAATCAATAACTCTGGAAATAATGATCGTATAGGAAATCTAAGGAGGGTTTTGAAAACTACACAATATCCCCTATAAGAAACTGTAAACGGCTTTTAAAAAAAAATTTTTTTCGAATTGAAAACTCGGATTGAAAAAAAGACAAAAATCCGCATAAATAAGGATATTTGGATAACTTGGTATAACTTTGGATAAAATGGATGAACGAAGGATATCGTCGGTAAATCATCGTACAGGCTTTTTGATTACGTCAAATTAAAGGGTATTTCAAAAAGCCTGTACGATGATTTGCTTTGCCGCGGAGTTATCGTCAATCAAAAAAGTTCTTTTTGACTTTGATAATCAATAACTCTGGAAATAATGATCGTATAGGAAATCTAAGGAGGGTTTTGAAAACTACACAATATCCCCTATAAGAAACTGTAAACGGCTTTTAAAAAAAAATTTTTTTCGAATTGAAAACTCGGATTGAAAAAAAGACAAAAATCCGCATAAATAAGGATATTTGGATAACTTGGTATAACTTTGGATAAAATGGATGAACGAAGGATATCGTCGGTAAATCATCGTACAGGCTTTTTGATTACGTCAAATTAAAGGGTATTAAATATTCTAAAAGAGCTTTGTAAAAAAACAATGGAAAAAATTTTTTTGAAGCCCGTAGACCTTTTTTTAGACGAGAAAAAATTTGGAAAATTTTTTTTCGGTAGTTTATTTAGGATTTCTCTAGACCTGGACAGGACAAAAAATTTTCATGGTTATGTCTGAAAACTAGACACTTGGAGCCACAATTTGCTTTTTTCATTTTTTCTGTACGACCATTTTCCTCGGAGTTACAGCTCGTTGAAAATCACCCAAAAATTTGGAATTTTTTTTATGTCTTAATTTTTGTGACTAGTGTATATAATAATAAATATTTTGAAACTCATCTATGAAGTGAAGGTAATCGATAATCACGGTGTTACAATATGAGCAAAAGGTGTGTGAAAGCAGGATTTTACAAAAATTTTTAATGACACTTAAATGCATCCAATTTTCCATCATTACCGTAAATGGAACAAAATAGATCATGAGTTTTGATTAAAATCTTAAAACTCGAGTTATTTGTCGCGAATTTGATGATTGAATCGGACGATTGTTGTGATCATCACCATGAGCAAATTTAATAGTTCGGAATGCTTCCATCTGTAATTGAAGATTCGTGTAAATATTCAGTACTTCTGATATAAGTAATGATTATTCATTGTAAATCTGTACAACCTGTCGACTATCAACTATGCTCGGATAATTTAATATAACCCATGAAACACCTTCGCTGCACGGTGGTGTCGTTAAAGATCCAGTATAAGTAAGATAAGCATCAGCCCAGCTTTCAGTAAGTATCTTTGACAATGAAAATGGTTCAATTTCAACAGGTTCGGAATCTGGTTCAACAATGCTGGGAAACGAAGATATCACCCCATCCAAATATTCAGCACCGTATCTATCATCAGTTATCTACATTCAACAATAAATTAAGTAAAAAAAGTGCGTTGCGTAAAATTTATTAATATAAAACTTTACATATAAGTTTCCAATGACAAGTATTCCTTCTCCTTGTTCTGGATCAAAACTACCGTAATCAGGATTCCAATGAACTACGTGTACTTCTAGTGATGTACTAAATTTTTGGATGAAATTAATTAAGGTAATTATTGTATTTGTTGAATTTAATCCTCACAAAAATTTTTTGGACTCTGTGTGGTGTAAAAGTTGTGGTAAGAAAATTTCTTATATGGCGAACGCACGTATAAAAAATGGACTTGATTAAAAAAAAAGAAATGTTGAATGAAGAAAATCATTTTAAAGAATTTATTTTTGTGAAATCGTGCAGAAAAATCCATAAGACAACAAAAACTTTATGTTTTATAACTATTCTGTTTGGTTAAAAATAATCAAAATTTTCAAAGTGAATTTCTTGGTTCACAATATATTCTCGTGAGTCAAATTAATTGTTTTTCTAACAGAGTGTAAACATTACATCATGTATCATGTTAAATTTTAAATTTTTACGCCACGTAAAGTCTAAAAAAATTCTGTCTGGTGCACTAAATGGTTAATGATAATACGTTAATTACAAACCTGACTTTATTAAATACATGTTCACTTCCACTATCATTAGAAGAACCCCAATGATAATGTAATTGAACAACTTCATATTCTGTGCCATTCTTAATGACCCTAGGCTTTCGATTAGATGGGCCATCCCATTTGGGCTTTATTTCCACTAATGTCACATGAAACAAAAATTTTGTTAACTCTACTAAACTATAGTTAGAGAAATTAAAATCTTAAACAAAAGCCTCATTGAAATCAAAGCCAATGTTCAGATCTTAAAAGAAGCCTATGAATAATATTATTTTTCATTAAAATAAATCTTAATTATTACCAGTATGTCCATTGTTTTTTATCATCATTTTTTTAGGAGTTATGTTATAACGCTTGAAAGTGATTTTTCCTTCTGAATTATCACTTTGCTCGATATCATCAAGATTTATTGGAGACTGTTGTGCGCCACCGCAGGATGGATATTCATTTTCCCACAAACCAACATCTTTGTACTCCCAAGCTACTCACAAAAATAAACAACAATTATAATTTGAGCTTTAAATATTCATTAATTATAAAATATAAAAATTATCCAAGCTTATACCTGATATTAAATGAATAAGATGAGCGAAGAAAAAAATATGTCGTTTACCCAAGTTCATATTATTGCTTTTTCGACGAATAAATTCTAGACAATTGTAATTGATTCTTATTAATAATAAAAATTATTCAAACGATTGTTAAGTAGAAAAAACTTGTTTGAGCTAAATGACCCGACTTTTTATAGGATGAGTCTTGACCAGCAAAAACGAGTTTTTTATCAACGTAATTATGAAAAGTGCATATGCATCGGTGTAATAAAAATTTTTCTTTGTATTTGCATTACTTAAGTCGTTTAAAATGATTATCTAAACTACTTTAAATGAAAAAAATATTAAAATTAGTAAAAAAATTAAATTTGGGTCCTGGCCTGGGCTGTCCGAATTATTTTTCGGTTACCGAAAAATTTCCACTGAGTAAAGGTTCCCCCTTTCCCATTACCCTTTCTTTCCTCAGTTCCCAAATTTTTGGCAATCTTTGCTTTTATGAATAGGAAGCTAATTTTTAAGGAATTTTTACAGACCAATATACTTCCAATAGTTCTGTGATTTTGTCGACCGATGTATTCAATTTTTTTTTCAGGCATGACTGATCGAAGTTTTATGAAAAATTAAGGGACTAAGATTTGCTCCTTGAATTAAACATTGTTCAAAGCCTTTAAGAAATGTTAGAAGAGAACATTTTTTTACGTTTTCGAAAAGAATTTCAAAAAAAGCAAAATCTTAGTTAAAAATAATATTTCTTATGATCGACCATAAAAATTACTTTAGAAAAATTTTAGAAAAAAAAAAAATTGTGGACTTTCTCAAGTCGCGGGAAATAACGTTAAGCTATACTTTTAAATATTCTGAGAGCTTTAAGAAAAAAAAAATTTTATAACTTAATTTTTTTTGTAACCCGTTTTACCTGTTCTCGTGTCCCTTCACAAAAAAGTGAGAAAAATTTGGAAAATCTAAAACGCTCGAAGAGCTCAAAAGCAGAGAAAAGCAATCTCTTTGAGCTCGAAGAGCTCAAAAACGTCATTGGTGCAATTTTAAGCGCCTAAGTATGGAATTAGCGGGAAGTTGCAGGGATGGCCTTCAGGGTCAATTGTTTTCCTAATTTTTTTAAATTAATTTTTAATCTAAAATTGTTTATTAATCGACTCTAACATGTATGAAATTTGTTTATTAATATTTTTTTTCCAGCAGATTATTTTTCTTTCGAATTTATTATTACAAATAAACAACCATAGACTAAAAATTAGTAAAAATAAATATGAAGGACATTGTTATTTTTTCATACATCAGTCTCATTTTTGTAAAATTGAAAAGTATTATTTTTAAAATTAGAAAACAGTGAAGTAGAATTACAATTCGTGTAATATAAATAAAATTTTCTGGTAACATTACATTGCACTGTGTAATTTTACAATGGAAATTGTAAAAATAAAAAAAAGCTTTTTAAATTTTTTATGAGATTATTGTAATATAAATTACAATATTTTTTTTATGATTTTACATACAATTATGCCGAATCAGATTACAAATAATGTTTGCAAAATTAAAAAGCTTTTTCTTGAAAATTGACGAACAGTTCTGTAATATTACAATGCGTGTTAGGTTTATACAAGAAGATTGTAAAATTACAATACATCTTAGTAGATTTCCTGACAGGTGTTGGAAAATTACATGAATTGTATTTTATTTAGCATTGCTATACACTGATTTGTAATTTTACATATCATTTGTTTTGTAATATGATTGTAATTTTACAAAAATTTTTAACAGTGTACTTTATTAAAAAATGGAAACAGTTTTAGAGCGATAATTATTCAAGAACTTTACTTATCGTTCTTTTTTTTTTTTAACTATAGATAGCAAAATGTCATTGTCAGCGTAATTAAAGTTATAACGTAACCACGTATCGAAAGCAATAGTTGCATAAAGTAATTTTACAATTATTTTTTATCAACATAATATATCATTGAAAAGTGAATGATAATAGAATAAAAAAAACATCATAAATTAATGAAAGTAAAATTTAAATTCTCAAAAAATAATAAAAATAATTAAAAAATCATCATAGTTGTTTAAAAAATAATTTTTAAAATGTATGAAATTTGTTCATTTATATTTTTTTCTATACTTTAGTATGGATTTTTAACCAGATGTAATCAATTTAAAAAGAAATTGAATGTTTAAAATCCACAATATTCATTTTTAAGCGATAGTAGAACAAACCTGTTTGCTTCGCGCTAAAGGGATGTAAAAAAATCCAACTAAAAAATATTCAACAAAGGCTTTAAAAGAAATAGATATACTTTGCATAGAGTCAATATTCACATTGTTATTTTTTAAATGAAATGAATAAAAAGTTACATCGATATCCTTATCATTGCTATATTATTATTGTATCTTTTTCTCTACATTATGTACAAAAATTGAGAAAACTGTATATCCGGATCACAAAAAGTTAACTTTTGCATTTTTTTTTTGTAAAATTAGAACCCAACCCTTTTTTGAAGCATGTAATAGGTTAAATATCAGTACGTGGGACTTCAGTTAGCTTTCTTCCATTGATTTTTTGAACAGGACGATTATTGTGATCATCACCATCATGTAATTCGAAGTTTTGGAACAGATCCATCTTCATTTAAAAATTGAAGTAGATATTAAGAATTTTTAAAGTAAATTCAAGTTATTTTATAAATTTGGCATTAGAAGTAACCTGGTATTCATTAACTGTGGATGGAATATTTAATACAACCCATGATACACCTTCGCTGCATGGTGGTGTCGTTAAAGATCCAATATAAGTTAAAAATTTTGTAGAATTGTTGTAATAAAATAATGATTCCAATCCAAATGGTTTTATATAAACAGGTCCTGATTTAGGTTCTTCAATATTGTATGCATAGTTTAAAATATTAAACAAAAAATTGGAATAGTCTTCATCATCTATACCAATTTCCTAAGTTTAACAGTTAATTACGATAAAAAATGTATAATGTATTTTATTAATAATTCGAATGGGCAGAAGGGGGGGGGCAAAACGGGGTACTTAAAGAAATGCTTAGCTTTTGATAATCTCAATATAACACATCTTTTTTTTTTTAATTGTAGTCAAAGTAAATAAAAGAAATTTTTGGCTGTCGATGAAAAAAAATTTTTCATTTTTTGCGGGTAAAATGGGATACCCCCTAAAAGTTGAAAAACTATTTATTCTGTAAAATTAGATTAAGTTTGAAAAAAATAAAGTTTTTATCGACAACTGAGTTGTAAGAACTCACTGTCAGTTGAAGGACTGAGTCTAAAGAAAATTGCTCGATTTAAGAACTTTTTTTCCTTAATTCAAGATAATAAATTTCTTCAAAAGTCTTTCTTGATTCGAGATATTTTTTCTTAAGTCAAGGTAACTTTTTTATCATCATTAATAATTCTTTTCATGGGAAATTATTAGTCATTTAGATCGTATGAAATTTTTTCAAAATGCTTGTGAAATTTCAACAGCTTTTTGGAAGGAAGAATTTCTTCACTAAATTTTTAGGGCACTTCATTTTGCCCCTCCCCCTTTCCTTATAAACTAAACTTACATATAATAGTCCAACGACAAGTATTCCTTCTCCTTGTTGTCCATCAAAATCACCTAACGCAGGATTCCAATGAACAATGTGCAATTCTAGTACTGTTCTGTGTTTTTGCATATGACATAGATAAGGGAATATTATTTTTCAATATCAATCAACTTATCAATTAGAGTGATAAATCAAGATACATACTTTCTATCTTCGAATATATGTTCACTTCCTTCATCGTTATTGTAAACCCAATGAAAATGCATTTGCTGAACTTCATATAATACGCCATCCTTAACGACTGCTGGTATTGTGGTATACCAAGTTGGTGTTACTTGCACTGTCATACATAAATTTTTCTAATTTTATTCAACTACCATCACGGGAAAATTGTATATAAAAACATTAAGACAAATATATATGACAACGTATAAAAAATTTATATCCACCATATATTTATATGCATTTTCGCTCGGAACGTATACGAACAGTTATAAAAAACTGTAAAAATTCATGCCTGTATGTTTATATATATATATATATATATATATATATATATATA